GCTGCATAGCAACCAACAACATCAACCAAGGTCCTGCCAATGCTGGCTTGGGGGGCCAACGGGTTATCTCTAGCTGGTAGAACACCAAGCTTGCCGAGGCACGTACGTGAGGCCAATGGAGATTGAACCCACGACCTCCTGAATGCAACTTCTGTGCCTTACCAACTGAGCTAGGCCCAACCAGTCCGTTTGGACCTTGTACACGAATGTTAAAAAAAAAAAACAAAAAAAACAAAAAAACAAAAACAAAACAAAAAAAAGAACAAAATCGGGTCGTGTCTCACAGGTACTCGTCGGGGAGAATCCAATATGCGTAACAGTTACCCAAGATTTTTCTTATTTTTATTATTATTATTATTACTATTATTATTTTTTGACCCAAGATTTCCCACATTCTTCGCAAGACGAGCTACGAGGTCGGCGTTCCCACATCCAGCAACACAACAAAACGACAGCAACAACTAAACTAAACTATTCAACACACAAACTTAATTAATACCCAAATCATAAAATTCATAAAATTCATAAAATTCATAAAAGACCTAGGGCCTCGCTCCACGAACACTCTACTCTCGAAACGTGAACAACGACAGTGAAATCTCCGCCAGAACATGGGAACGATACAGCGCCGTACTTCGTCTTTTGTGCTTGTCGAGAGTGTTGCAACTAGCCCCCTACCCGGTAGTCTCCTATCCGTACCAGGGTGGAGCAAAACCGCTTCGGTCATACTCCTCCTGGCTCAGGGAAGGTTTAAAGTACCGATGGTAATACCGTACGAACACGAAAGCTTCCTCCTCGTCGTCCAGGGAAGACAGCATAGTCCAGCCTGGAAGACCACAGCTAGAGAGCTCACAATGTGACGCGAGCTTATGAGACTCCATCTTGAAAGGTTCCGTAAACCAACAGGGCACTTGGTTAGCAGGTGAGTTTGGACTGGCTGACATAAATAACACGAGACTTCGTCGGGGAGAGCTATGCTAGTCTACCATAGCTCTCCCTCCATATCTCCTAATGATCCAGACCGAACCAAGATAATTGCGTTGCCGGAGTGTCTCAAGCTAACCCTAATTGTCAGTCTTCTTTGTTATTTTCTTTTTTGTTTTTTTTGTTTTTTTGTTTTTTTTTGGTCTTTGTTATTTTCTTTTTTTGTGTTTTTGAGCGGGGCTTGATTCGGGTTTGCCGCCACGGATCGCGTCCAGAAGAGAGGTTTGGAAGGAAGTAGGGAGGAGGAGGGAGGGAGGAGGGAGAAGGAGGAGGGAGGAGGGAGAAGGAGGAGTGGAGGAGAGAGAAGGAGGAGTGGAGGTGGAGTAGAGGAGGGACGGGGTGAGAAAGGGGAGGAGAAGGAGAAGAGGGGATTGTAGGGCAGGATGGCGACTGCAGGAGACGAAAGGAGGAGGAGGAGGAGGAGGACGAGGATGCAGTTGATGGTCACGCGTTCGCCGCACTACTCGCCAACTGTGCTAAATGGAGAAGGTATCTCCTTCCTGAAGAGTATCTAGTCTCCATTTACGGCGAGGTTCTTACCTTGTCATTCTGTGCAGTTGCCGGCTGGTGGGAGCGGGGTCTGAAATGGGTAGGCAAAGGACGAGGAAGGGGTGTAAGGGGGTCTAAGGGGGGAAAGGGTGAGGGCCTAGTTGCACACCACTCGCCATTCGCCAACGCTTTGAGTGAATGTGGACATGCCTTTTGTGAAGATGCATTGAACATGCCGAGAGGGATGCTGGCAACGAGCGCGTTCGCGCTGACGAATTGATGAGGATGATTGATCATTGTGATGGTGATGATGATGATTGATCATTGTGATGATGATGATGATTGATGATGATGATGATGATGATGATGATGATGATTGGTGATGAGGTTATGATGATGACGAGGTGGGGGAAGAGAAGATGGAAGCGGAGAAGAAGCGATCTGTTCCGTGGTGGGAAGGGAATGATTAGGTGATGGGGTGTCCATTGGATTGGACCTGATGACAATAACACACGGCCAAGGAAAGAAATCGATTTCTTTGTGCAAATCACTATCTGTGCCAATGGGAGAGGAGCAGGGAGCAGGGTTGAAGGCGAACGGCGAGGTATCGTTTCTTCTTAAATTATTTCCTTTCTTTTCCCTTTCCTTTTCTCTTCTATGCTAATTGTACACCGCGACCGGCTTGCCATCCTATCTCCATGTTTCAGTTTCGCCTTTTTGCTATTTGTTTTGGGACCGACCGATCTATATCTCCGCTTCTGTCTTCTCATCTTAACAGATCTGGGGATCGATCTTCGATAACGTCAACGGCTGATTATGGCGTGCGAGGAGCCAAGAGGGGGAAGTACTGCCCTTCGGATGATTGCCGCGCGATGGTAATGAGATCGATGACGATACGGTTATGATGATGATGATGATGATGATGATGACGGCGATGATGAGGAGGATAAGTAGTAAGTGAGTTGGCCATGGCGGCGAGGATGACCATGGTGTGGGAGTAGGTAGGCTAAGCGTGTCGGCAATATCCATGGTGAGGAGGCAGGTAATAAGTGGGAAGGTCGAAGGTGTGAGGAGGAGGCGAAGGAGGGGAGGTGTGAGGAGGGTTATGTTGTGAAGA